GCTGAGAGCTGTGTCCTTTTTTAATAAGCAAAGTCTGCAGCTAAAGCAAAGTTTGGAGCCGCAGTTACCTTCTGAAACAGTATGCCTGTATTTACTTGTTTCCTTGACTAAAAAGTCATGTTTTCCCTGGCCTGACACCTGGTGGAGATTATTATTTATTAAACAGAAAATGTTCAGCAATGTCTTTCTGGTATGTTAGAACTTTTTATGGTTTTGCACCATCTTGTGGCAAATATCCATACCTACCTAGACAACTTGTAAAATAAGTAGAGGTATCTCATTCTTCTTTTAATAATTTTCCTCTTGTTATCTTTACGTGCAGATAGTTTCATACAACTGTTTATTTGTATATTTTTTCCTCTTTCCTACAAGGTAGACAATAATAATATTTCCTTCCACAGTCGCAGATCCCACCACTCTTGTGTTTGACTTTGCTGTAGGACATAGGAAAACTAACAGCCAAATGGCTGCTACTTAAGTGCCTCCATCTGTGGAGTTCAGGCAGGAAAGTCCTCGCTCCTCTCCCTCAGGATCCTGTGCCGTGCACCTCTATCCATGTGGATCTGCAAGGATTTCAGGGTGCCCAGCGTTCACCTTCTGCAGGGCCTATTAAGACCTGTGAAGGCTAAAGACTGAAGTGAATATCCATACGGATGCTTTTTGTGTGCTTGTTGATAAAGACCAAGATCATCTTGCATGATTGAAATATGGTATATGATATTTTCTTATCTGCTTTCTCATATAGGTGATGTGTTTTATACACTTACTAGATTTTCACATTCCAGGCTTGCTGGGGAAGATAAAAACTATCCTGACACATCAGATATGCTGATTTATGTGAAAGTGGCCCAGTTTTCAAGGCTAGCTCCAAGTTCCTGTTAAAGCTTAGTGGAAAAAAAAAATCCATATTAACTCTGATCTGTATGCTCCCAAAGCATGTAAGCCTGGATCTACTATTTTCTGAAATAATGACCTTCTCCTAGTGCCCCACTCAGGAAACTTTCCTCTATTTTTTTTTGTTTAGTCTCTCTTTTTCCCTAAAAAGCATGAATTACCTTCCTGCAGCCCCTCAACTCTGTGCCCTTTGGGCAAGGAGAGTGCACTGGAAAAAAGCATTTCCTATGTCGCATTTTGCCGGTTGTAGTGGGCACAACTACGAATTCCCAGTTCACCAAGCTTTGCCATTAATCTAGCAATATTTGCTGTGTTATCTTAAAGTCTTAGATTTGGGATTGCTTTGATCACGTAAGAAACTCACCCAGCTAATTCCCCTCCCCGTGTCTCAAGGGGCTACCGATGCAGCGGCCTTGAGCGCGAGCTGCTTAGCCTTTCTCTCAGCTCACCACCCACGTTTCCTTCTACCCCCTCTTACCCGTATTAGGTTGTCCTGACATGTCTGGGCCTGTTTCTCACCAGAGATACCACCCACTTTCTCTTTGCTGCTCTTCTGGGTTTCTGCTCCTCCATAGCCTTGTTTCTAGGCACCTTACGCTTATACATAATTTAAATTTGGAGCACTAACAGAGCAATATAGGCTGGCGCTCCTGATTTAGTTAAGCATGTGTTATGAAATAAAATAAAATACAGGACAGTTTTTGTGTAATGACGTTGCATTCACGTGTATTTATGCGGCTCCCTTGTCCTGACAGTACTCACTGATACATTCAGTTGTTATAACTTGCATTTTATGTTCCTGATGGAATGCTGTTCATTTAGAGTTCCGTATTGTTGATACTGTTTATGTTCCATGCCGCCTCGTCGCAGATTTGCTGAACTGCCTGCCTTGTCATTTAGCAGCTTTTTTTTTTTTTTTTTTACCCAAGTGCTCCTATGAGCATGTCATTCCTTATTTGTGCCTTTTTGCCCTTGGCAAACTACCTTTCCCAGTTCTTCTCAATTTACTTCTCAAGGGCCCATTAACATTCACTCTTGTGCTCTGACTTACTCAGAATCACCTCTGTCTTACCTTCTTCATATGACAGATTTTTCCTGCTTTTCATTTTCAACACCTAATTATTAAACATAGGGTAATTTCTACTCATGTAGAATAGTATTCATGCACCTACTGTTAGGAAAATAAGACAAAATGGGAAGTTAAGACATGCTTATGAGGTATTTACAGATATTTCATTAACTGTTATTAATTAATTTTATGGAGTTGTATTTGTTTTTTCAAAGGAAATTTTCCTTAGGCTAAATATTATAGTTTTTATAGATCCTGAAACAGAATTTAAAAAATTGGGTACAAAGATCCTCAAGTTTTGTCATCCTAGGTGCCAGAGATTTTAAGATGTCATATTTGAATAGACATGGAGGATGTTTCTTGTATGCTTCGCTTGGTTATTACTAATCAGGAACCTCCTGTAACCTTTATCAGGCTCTGTACATGATAGACTTGTATCACCCTTTCTGTGGATGGCACAGGAGAGCATTACTCACCAAGGTAAGCACTGTGCTTGTTTTCCAGGCCTTTAGGTCCACTTTAAGATGCAATTTATCATGCCAATTAGTGCATGACCACCAAGTTTATGGACTAAATTTGCCCATGGTATCCATACATAAAATGTGCATGGTAAAAGTCACTCTCAAAAACTTACAGTATAGTACAAAAAAAAAAAAAAGCTGAAAGCTGAATAGCTTTTTTTTTTTCTTTTTCTTTTTTTTTCCCCACAGATAAATTTAAAATGGTATATTGGAAATAAAGTTAGTCAAGACTAATGTTCAGACAGGGTGATTATTACTAGTTAACTCTTCTCTTCTGCTTTCAATGTTTTATCTGCTGGGCTCTGTAGAAGCGGAAGGAGCATAAAGTTTAAGGAGCTGGGTCCAAACCCTTTTTTGCTGATGGAAACCAGGAAGGTGATGCTGTGGCTGTTATTGGGAGTCAGTACTCTGAGGAAGATGGCAGGATTCCAGCCTGCTCTAGAAAGGCAAAGGTTAGACCTCACTTAACAATTTCCTGCAACTGGCAAGCTCTCCCTTCACTTTCTTTCTTCTTCTTTTTTTTTTTTTTATGAGAGAAAAGATGGTTAGAAAAGTATAGTAAGGGGGGAGGGAAATCCTGGCCTTCTTGGGTCATGCAGATGCCCTATTTCAGTGCAGTTTCTCTAGTTCATGCAGTGAACAAGGACTATAACATAATACTTGCAAGGTTATTTAGGCAGAGTAGTTCCTGATTACCCTTCATTATGTTTGGTCCTCGATCCAACCAAAACATGGGCAGGAATACAATTTCCCTCTCCCTGCCTGCTAGGAGAATGAAGCACCGTCACGTTATAGTGTGGAAGGTTGGCATAAGATGTCGTGTAGTGGGCAGGTGGCACTGAGGAACAGCTCTCTGAGCGTTATTTATAGAGAGGGGTCTACAGAGCTTTGTTGTGAGGCAGACTATCCAGAATGGCTCTTGATATTTAGTGCTGTAGTACAGGAAGGAGAAAGTTTCAGTAAATAGATCTGTTTGGGATTTAGATTTTTATAACGAGAAGATTATCATCAATATGTAAAAAAGCAGGGAGTCTGTGAAACGGGTTTATAAATTTGAAGGAGTCAGAAATTAGAAGCACTTTTCCCCTTGTCAAATTTGTCTTCTTGCAAAATATAGTTTTAGTAATGAGAAGGAATGTGCACAGTTAAGAGTAGTATTTCTGAAAATCCTCATCATTCTCTTTTCAGAAGATGCGCAAATAACAAAATTATTAAAAATGAAGCTTTTTGTTTGCAGTTTTTAAGTTTGATGCATATTCTTTTTGTTCTAAATATTTGCTAGATAATGAACTAGAGTTATTTGAGTTTTGAGGTCTATTTTCTACTAAAAACCAAATGCAGGTTATATAATAATCACATTAAACTGAATGTGTCTAAGTCATGGACTGAGAAAATAATTGCTAGTGCTGTTCAATGGAGAAAAACAGTTAAACACCTACTTAAATTAATCGCTTCTGGATTAATTGATCCAGTAATATATAAGCATGTGCTTGGAATATCTAATTTAGTAGATGATGATGGACAGTCAAACGGGACAGAGCTAGAGTGCTAAATATAGCTTAGAAGGGACGTGGGGATGTTCTGCCCCGGGTTTGATTGTGATGGCTCCCTAGGGAGGCCGTGTAGCAAACGGGAGTTTTGGCTTCTGCCCTTGGCTTGCTTCTTACATCTGAAAATCCCCATTAGA